CCTACCAATCCTAATATGCCAACCCCGTAGCCAACTACCAATAATATTCTGATCACAATAATATTCTGATCACAAGTAATTCTTAGAACATTCACATCAATACACTTCATTTCCAATTCTATTAATAGCTTCTATTATCACTTTATAAACTGAGGTTAGGTTACTAACACCTAATTTATTAGCATGATGTTAATACCTAATTTATTAGCATTAGGGGTGTAAGTCTAGCTCTAGATACGTACCCACTAACCCGACCCGGCCCGGCCCAACTCAACTCGACTTTGAGGGCCGGGCTGTGTCACTTTGTCTTTAGAGCCGATTTAAGGTCGAATTGTCTTTTGGCACTTTAAGAGTTGGGTAGGGTCGGGTCAACTTAGGGTGTCACTTTTGACCCTATATGGCCCATAACAACTAGTAATTTGAAATTTCTCATACCAAAAGATTAGACTTATTTATTAAGTTTTAACAACTTAGGTATGCAAAAATGGACTTGGTCTAGTAGTACTATCGCTAGTCTTGAATTTGGAGATTCTAGGTTCGATTTCGTTAAGTAGCACCTTATAATGAAAACAACCATATATCACCCATATCTAAAAAAACAATTTGGGTATCATAATGCAATCTAAAAAATATAAAGGTACTATAACATAATTTTGCCACCAAAATTTATGGACCTATGTGTAATAAAATAAAGTTTAGGTAATAAATTGTAAAAATAAATTTATATACCCAAATATAATTTTTCAAATATCAATTTGTTGATATGGGTCAACCCGCAGACTTGGCCCCACCTGACCCAGTCCCACCCAAGTGGGTCATATAGGGTCAAGAGCAAATAGGGTCGGTCGTGTTTGTACCTCTATATGGCTGAGTATTTTAGGGTACTTCTAAGATCAGAATTGGGTGTGACCCCAGTTTCACCCTAGTTAGCATGATGCTAACACTATCATATCCAATAAAAAACTTTTATTTTGCTGACTTTTTATGTTCGAAGGGGTTTACCACTATTTAATTCAGTTTTTTAAAGAGATGGGTGCACTTGTCAATTTTAAAAATTATCAGAGAAATATACTTGTGGATCATAAGTATCATGAATCATACTAGAAATACGACAAATCATGTAAAAAAAACATAAAGTAGATAAGAAAAATCATAAAGTAGATAAGAAACTTACAACATCATAAAACTGATAAAGCTTATCACAGATATCATGAAGCGACTCAGATCATACCTGAAACATGACAAACCACAACACAACCTATATAAAGTAAACTAGAAACCTCATAAAGTATATCAGAGAAATTAGAAAAGCACACCACAAATAGTGCAAAGATCACCACAGCACGAAACTCATAAAGTATACTAGAAACTTCATAAAGCTTATCATAATTTTTCTGAATCACACTAGAAAACTCATAAAACTGGCCAGAAGTATAAGAAGTTGACCATAATATGTGTGTTACAAGACAAGTCATAGTGACAATTCGACAATTACTAGGCTTGCGTATCTTCATTTAATTATTTAATTATTCACATTAGTTATTATTTGGAATTTATTTAAGGTGAAAGTTATATTTGTTCTATTTGGAATAAGATTAGTAGATTATCCTAGTATATAATTAATGTTTCTTGTAAGGGAATAGAAATGAATTCTAGTAGTAGTAGGAAAAAGAAAGGAGAGAGACTAAAGTCTAGAGTGAGAACTAAAAGAGATTTGGTTGTGTAACTCTAAAAATAGAGTCTTTGTTTATGATTAATAATATGAGAAAATTGGAACCCAATTTATGTTTCTTCTTTTGTTATTCTGTTTACATCCAATATAATTTTGCGGCGCGAGATTAACGACGCCGCGAGTTAGACGACATCACAGTGGAGACTGGAGAGCGATGTCGCGGTCTCGAGTTCGGTGGCATTGTGAGGTCGTGGAGCTAAACGAGGCCGCGAATTCAACAAAACTGCGAGCTAAACTATGTCGCAAGGACAACGTGTCGCGAATTGAGCTAGGCTAATAAAAAATCACAATCATGATGACTTTGACGATGTTGCGATGAAGTGATGTCGTTTCGGGCAGAACGATGTCGTTTTTGTCAGAACGACCTTGCAGGGAGTTCAATGATGTTGTGAGGTCAGTGGCGCCGTCATGGAAGCTATAGACGTTGTTCCTCTTCTGCCACCTCCAGAAGCACGAGAACCTTGGATGGATTTGAGCTTGGCCAGAGGAAGGAAAACTCTCTAACCGCGGGTGGCAATGGCGTCAAACGAGGACCAACCACGCATGGAAATATTGACAGAAAAGAAACATGCAATGGTTACGGATGCAGGGCACGGTTAAAATTGAACCTAAAATTTAGGAAAGAATGGTTGCAAGTCATGGTCAAAGAAAGATCTCTCCGTGGTAGGCTGATAATCGGTTCGGTTCGGTTATAACTGGAACCGTTTGGTCGGTTCTCGATTAACTGTACGTACTTCGTGCTTACCGTTAACCGGACCATTTATATTAGTCGGTTAACACTAACTGCTTAGTCGATTCTCGGTTATTTTGTTGGTTATCCGGATAACCATTAAGTTGGTGATTTAGCAAGGTTATACCAAAATAATTGATCGGTAGCATAACCAACGAAAAACCTTCTTTTTTCAATTGTGCATTTTTGTAGATTTTTTCCTAAAATAACTTAACTTAGATATCAATCTATAATCAACTCAATCCAACACAAGTATACAATAACACTATTACACAGTCAAATTTGATTAAAGAAACCGACGAGAATAAGAGACCCAACAAAAATTACTCAACTCATAAAGACATAAACCAACATATTACATGGAAGCTTAGATGTTAATGATTGTTGTCAAGCTACTATAAGTAAGTCCAACTTTATACTGTTCTTCAAAGCCCTTCTTTGAAATTATTCTCATTTGAGCAACTATTACAACTAGGGTACGCAAGGGATCTTGTAGACCTTCAAACATTCCACTATTTTTAACCTATACTTGCTGCTCATCGAGACTATTATTTGGGGTCATAACTATGAAGATGACTATAATCGGTTAATCATTTAACCGTCAGTTACTGACCGTTAAACTTTCGATTATTAATTAGCTAAATCTAACTATCGGAAACCGATCGTTTAGTTTCTAATCGGTTATCGATGTAACCGTTAACCATTAGTTTTGGTTCGGTTATCGGTTACACCGTTAACAAAATAACCGATCACCCTACTCCGTGGTCTGCTACTATCTCACAATCTACCTCTACTTCTTTAACAGTTGCACAGCCACCATTTCCCGTCTCATTAAGCGCAAGCAAACAAATTATTTGAAGCAACTTGTAATCAGCCTCATTCCCTGCAATTTGGTACAAACTACAAACAAGACTGAACAAAGTAACATATGATCTCTTCTACCAAGATAAATGATGAGATAGAAACCCAATCAAACTCCAAAAACGACGAGCTAATGTACAAGAGAAAAAAGATGCTTGAGGGTGTCCTCCTTACCAGTTACCACAAACCAGACAAATCAGATAAATGTTAGTCCTCCTAAAGCCAAAGCCTCACAGGTCGGAAGGATCCGATGTAAACATTGCCAAAAAGAAGATAAGTATCAGAGGAAGTTTCAAATTCCGAAGGGCTATTACTAGAGGTATTCAAACGGATTGGTTACCGTGGTAACCATATTAACCGGTAGTATTCGGTTAATTTAGTTTGGTTAATTTGGATAATTGGTTTGATTTGGTTTGGTTTCAACACTGCTAACCAATGAAACCAATTAATCAATTAATGATACACCGAATATACAAAATTATTTATACTTCTATGCAACCAACCAAACCAAACTTTCGTGAATCCCTATTTTATTTCCATGTGCACAACAAACCAAATCATTATGGATCAAAAATTAAATGGGTATGCCTATATTTACTATGGATCAAAACATTTTGGACAACTACTAGACTTTAGGATTACGTACAATACCATGACAGTCGTCTCAAACTATGTATAGTTTAAGTGTTTTGTAGGAGAGTTTTAACTTCCTGATGAGGGGTCTTGGTATGTATTTATGTTAAGGGGTTTGTTGTAAGCTAACTATATTAGGTGCAGAGATGATGAATGATGTATTAACTCGAATGATGATGATAATCATGGATGGTTAGTCTTATTATTATTGCTTATATATAATGATAGTTTATGACAGTAATAGCATATGATAATGTTTTATTCATTAACTACATAATTATTTTCATGTAATGTTATGTTATTTGGTTAATCCGATTAATCAAACCAATTAAACTTTGGTTTGGTTAATTTGATTTCATGTTAATTTGGACGGCTTGGTTAAAACATTTTATTCCATGGTTAATGAAATTTAGGCTTAATTGGTTTGGTTATTACCACGGTAACCATTTGAACACCCAAGACTTATTACTACTAAAAAGTAAAAATACCAAGCTTTAGCAACAATGCCATTTATATTGTGCAACTTCAATAATTGCAATAATATTCCAAACTATTGAAGGTCAACGTCTTTGAAATTTGAAACTTCAACCATTGCAATAATATTTCAAATTATTGGGGGTTAACGCCATTTGTGTAATATAAATGATAATGTTCCTACAAATTTGTATTTCTTGTGGTATTAGTCCTAATAAAAACAGACAAAAAAAGTGAAAACAAGTTTTTATTCTCAGTTCTCACGTTTGGTATATGGCGCGCAGTATAGTTCCAAGTTCCAACTTCCAAAATTTGGTATATGGCATGTTTTTGTCTCGACCGATACTACGGTGCCGCGGTTAAAAGTGCGGCACCGGTGCCACCTTATTTGATTGGTACACGTTGCTGCTTGCGTGGCCTCGTTGTGCTTTTCTGGAAAACCCAACCCAAATAGATCGCCCAACCCAAACATCTGCAAGCCGCCTCATTGACCAGGAAAATTTAATTTCGTCTTTTAGTTATTCTTCTACCTTTCTTCTTTGAAAAAAATAAAATAAAAAATAAACACAGAGACAATATAATCATCTTGCTCGCCCTTCCTCTCCATCGGATCGGAGCAATCAAAAGTTTCGGCGAAAGTCTCCATGGCCGATTCAATCTCCTTTACAGACTCTATGGCTCGACCCTCAGTATTTCGTCAAAGTGCTCCGTCCTCATCCAATCCACACGATACTCTGCATCGCCCCCTACTTTGTGTCGTACCTCTTGAAGCGTCAAAATCCGAATCTGAAGTTAGTTGATTGGAGGAGAATAAAGACGCTGGATGTTTCTTGGGTCTACACTTGGTTAAACCTTATACTTCTAGTTCAGTTTTGTTGTTCCTTATTGCAAAACTTCTGGGGTTTTTTCCCTCGTGAAATTGCCTCAGGTGGCCGAACGCTCCCTTTTCTTGTGGAACAACGACCAATCGTGAACTTGATAGTTCACAACCGCCACATGATCCTGGCTAACAAGTTCCCATAATTGGAAAAGCCATTGGAATCAAGGAGTGCTTAACTCTCAACATCAGGGTAATGTTCTCGGAGATGGAAGTACAACTCTTCCAGACGTGCCTTGCCCAGTTCAAGGACAAAGAAGAACATCTTAGTGTTGCAGCCGAGAAGAGGAAAGAAGCGTGTCAACCAAGATCACCTGTTAGGTTGTTACCAGTAGTAGGCATTTGTGGGTGGCACTCTAAGTTTTGTTGTAGGATATAATTATTGTGGTGCCATAGAAGCTAGTTGTTCTATAATTAACTAATTAAGTAGAGTAGTTCCTGATTTCCTCTAGCTGTTAGCCTCTTCTCCATCTGTGGTTATGCCTTGCTGCATTGGATTCTGTTTGGTGTTTCCTTTTGTAAGCTTATGAAAAGGGCAAAGAAAGGATCTATATAGTAGTTTATTAGCTTCATTTTCCTCCTTGTTTAGTTGAATTGTCAATAAAGTCCAACTAACCTTTTGAACAATCTTCTTCTCATTAACAATGAAGGAAGGGTAACAGTGCCCCAAGTATGTAATTATGTGGTTATTCATAGGCTCATTAGATTGTAAAGGTCGTCAGTGACAACGTCAAATTTTTTAATATTAATCCTTCCAATTAATGTTACCTCTAGTCAACTATCATATCATAGATTGTGTTAGTATTAGACTATTAGTGTCTAAAAAATTCGATATAAATTATTGATTGTATTGGTTCAAGTGCTTGTCATCCATACAGTAATGTTATTACATTTCAATAAGAAGCATGTTGTTATCTGTGTAAAGAATGAACTAATCATAACTCAACAAAGCCTTACACACCCCTGACCATAGGGAAGACTATTCATCCATTTCCCTTAATCAAAATAGCAATTTGCAACTTATTACAATGAACACCAAAGTCTTGCTCAACAAGAACTCTACAAATTCACAAGGTTTCTAGATACGAAGTACAAAAGGCATAAAAATTTAGCTCAACCACACTCCTCCCCTCAACTCAAAAGTCTGAAACTTTATTTATCCTTAAGGCCCCATTAACAACGTGGCTCTCCATTTTCAATACCTGCACATTAACAACTTCAGTATTATCCTCTGTTACAGGATACAATGTCGTTCAAATGTGATACATAATAAGGTCAGAATGTCAAATAGTTGCAAGAAGAAAAAGGACTAATGTGTCCTTTACTCACTTCTTCTCTTGTGTAAGTTCTGTCAGTGATAAAGCAGAACTGGGATGAAAGTATATAGCAAACTTTCAAACAGAGCAGAATTTGCAAGAATGCTGATACCAAGCTATAGTAGATGGGGATAAAACTATCATTGGACGTGTTTATTCATCTACGTTTTTCTACTTTGAACTTTGAAGTCATTGACCATTGGTTTAGCATTACTCGGCTTCTCGTTCCCAATAAATAGAAGTCAAAGGGAAGGCAGGGCGAGAAGACATGTAACAACAGGCGGAGGAGGAGGGTGATGGCCGGACAAAGGAATTACCTGAAAGTATTTCAAATCCATTGGGAAAACTCGCTATGCACCTCTAATTAATCACCAAAAGTCGGCTTGGGATCGTTGTGGATCCGGTGGCGGTGAAGCATTTTGATGGAGATAGAGGACCAGCCGGAATAAGCGTCAGAGAAATTCACTTGGACCGTTTGTTACTTGGAGTCAACGGAGACGGGACTGAGAGAGAGAATGAAATTCTCACCGTTGCTCCCAGCCTCCCACACCGTCCGACCGGAAACCTGACGTATTAAATATTAAATAATAAATAAATTCTTGGTCAGTTGGGCGGGTTGTCGAGAATTGGACTCGTTTGGCCACGGGTTTGAGTTGATTTTTATAAATAGAAAACATGCCATGTCATTTTCCCAATATCCACGTGTAACAATTAAATGAGGCGGCACCGGTACCGCACTTTTAATAGTGGCACCGTAGTATTGGCCTTTTGTCTCTCCCTCCTCTATTTGTTTCCTTCTTTGTAAACCCAATGGGTTGGGCTGAAACGGATGCTTGTTTGTGGGCTAGTTACTGGACCAGCGAAAGTCTTGGTCTATCTTTCTCTGGGCCGGACCCAACGAAATTGATCCCTGATGGGCAATAACAAGGCAAAAAAGAACATGAGAGACGGCACAAGGAAGCTGTTCGCGATGGCGGAAGGGGAAGAAGCTGCAGTTGCAAAGGCTGAAGCAGAGTACTTCTCCAAGGACTTCGACTGGGAATCACTGAAACAACAAGTTGAAAAGAACCCTTCGTATCAGTTTCATCTGCTTCCACATCTTCCTTCTTCCTCGGACGAACAACGGGAGGAAGAGACGAGAGATTCCAAGGCGTGGCAGAGCTTCCACGTCCGCCATTCCGCCGGAAAGTTCTTCAAGGTTCCTTCTTTCCCACTTACTCATTTGTGAAGCTAATAGTTAACGGGTTAGCCAGGAATCTCGATTTTTATTCGGATTTAAATCTGCAGGAGAGAAGGTATTTGTTGAAGGAATTCCCCGAGTTGGCTTCTTCCCCCAAATTCTCCAAGGTTTTGGAGGTTGGATGTGGAAATGGAAGCTCCCTTATTCCTGTCCTGCGGTAACCTTTGTCCTTCTATTCTTTTTGAACAGCTTGAACCTGCTAGAGGCCTATAACAACCTTCACACATGAAAGTTGGAAATGGGTAATTTGGGTTGGAGATTTCTTTTGATGAAGACAATTGTGATTTTCCTTTTTTGTAGTGGCAACAAGAACATCACTGTGTATGCTTGTGATTGTAGTAGTGAGACTCTTGAGAGGGTTAAAGAGATTCTGTCTGCGAATTTGGCAGCAGCAGCTTTGGATCGCTTCGTTCCGTTCTTCTGTGATTTTGCTTCAACTGGATTTCCAGGATGGTTGGCTTGCCATTCATGCAGGGGGATGGCTCCCCAACGTGAACACAAAAGCTGTTCTGGTCTAAGATTGGTTCTCTGTTTTTAATTTCATCTCGATTATAGTCACACATTATGCTTTCCTCAACCATTGTTCCTCATTTGTTTTGTTAGGCGTTGGAGAGTTCCAGATGACTCAAATGCGAGGTCTAAGTCCATTGACAGAAGGTGGCTGCTGCATTGGCGGGGTGGATTTTGTTACCCTGGTACTTCTTTGAATGTGGCTGAAATCACTTTGGCTGTGTTTTTGTTTGTTTGTGGTCTTGTATCCATACCAGACACACATTCTTCCGTATATAGAAGTCACAGTTCATTAGCTTCTAGGGAATTTGATTCAAATTTATGAATTGCTAATTGAACCTGAAGTTGAAGGTATCATGATGATTTGTTCTTAAATAGGTTCCTACTTCCTAGCCATGACAATCCAATGCATCTCCCATTCATTCAACACGAGGTGTTTGATTCAATTTATTTGTAAAATGATGTATTCAGTCTCATTTGCATGCTCATTTGGCATTTTGCATGATATTAAGTATTATGTAAGGTGCAACTGGTAAGAAATATTGTTGGGTTACGTGCATTGAGCTGAAAATTGTGCCAGAAATGCCAGGCAACCAAATCTCCTATGAATAAATTTTCAGTATTTATGGCCTCTGAGTCTCTTAATTGCTTCTTTGTTGCGGACTTTTATGCCTAGATATTCACACTCTCAGCTGTGCCACACAAATTGATGCCCAAATCCATCAAGGAGTGCTTTTCGGTCTTGAAGCCTGGTGGCATCCTCATGTTTAGAGATTACGGTAATGAAAACAACCACCGACGCTACTACTGTCAAAAGAATGAGCAGTGAACTTGTTAATTAGAGTAGCATCTACATCCCCGTTGTTCAGCTTCGATACTACCTCACTGAGAAATGTCCAGTCTTTTGAAACTTAACTAGGGCTCTACGACATGACCATGCTGCGGTTTGAGCCAGACAAGAGGGTTGGTTTCAGGGAGTACATGCGAGGAGACGGTACTCGCTCTTATTTCTTCTGTCTAGACACTGTCCGGAACCTTTTCCAGGGTGCTGGCTTCAGTGAGGTACACCATCAGCACTTGAACTCTCTGCTTCCTTAGTTTGAAATGCTTGAAAAGTATAGTAGTAATAAAGCAAATGGCTTATGATTTCAATAAGTAAAACCCAATTGTCACCTTACAGATGGAGCTCGAGTACTGTTGTGTAAAGTCGGAGAATCGTAGGAAGGGGAAGATCATGAAAAGGGTGTGGGTTCATGGGAAGTTCCAGAAGCCCATGCTATAGCAGCTGCTGCAGCATGGTGGGATCAACATGACTCTGTTTCAGGTACTTTCTATGGAGTATGGACGGGTATAAAGATGCATCCTTAATCTTGCAACAAACATTTAATTTGTACCTGTGAATGGATTTATTATCGCATTGAATAAGCTCATACTGAAACCATCCGATCCTGTGTCAGCATATGTTTACAAGGGAGCTGTCAGTCAGCACAACAGCCAAATCCCCCATTGACTCTGTGAGGAACTAGAACTCATCTACTGAAACTCCCCCTAAAATGTTTCCCCAAGTGCATAGACCCTGCAGAAAGCTTGAAGGTAGAGAGACGAGCAGCACAAGTGTTTGCCGCCAATATGTTGCAGCGCTGTCAGATTTGATACCTACTTGCAACGCTGTGATGACACCGGAATCGTATCAGGTCTAGCATCTACATATATCATCATCAGCAGTAGCAGTGGAATGAAATGAACAGCATACTGTCAAACATTTTGGTCCCTTGGGAATAGGGTAAGGCTCTCTCAGCAAACCTGGCATTGGTAATGTGGGTCTTCTTTGTTCAATTTGCTGAGCAGTTCAGCAGCAGCCATTCTCCCAAGTCCCAAGCATTCATTCTCATTTCTCACGCTTCTTGGCACCATCTTATCTGTCTATTGACCTCATCTTCCGCCCTTGTTGTAGTGTAATTATTTTATTGACGAATATGCAATGGTAAAAAAGCAATCAAGCAGTAATAATATGGTCAAAACACAATAGATTATATAAAAACAGATAATAGCTTTTGTTGTTCCTTAATTTGACTCATTCCTTGGACCATCATATCTTAGTTTAACCAGCCTCCCCATTTCATCATCGTCCTTACTAAAACACTGTTTCTTTATTATGATTTATGAGTTTTGGTCGCCATAAAAAAAGCGAGCAATTGGGTAAATTGTCTGTCCACTAGGCTAACCTGGAACAGAGTCGCTGTATTATTTGGAGTAGTAGTGTCGTCATCATTCAGGCACACCATTAATTATATTATTTAATTAGCGATTCATCATCAACACTACGAACCCCACCCACTAATTTATTCAATTTGATTAATTAAGTACGTAAAACCCTTCTTTATCTCTAATAAAGTCTCTCTCCCTCCCTGTCATTACTAATTAATTGCTTTCCCGCACGGCGCCATTGGTTAGCCCCGCGAGATGAGTTCAGATTTATGCAGTAGTTGGTGTTTTAACTTTAACACCACTGGTGGAAGCCACAACTTTCACAAAGTTAGGTCACAAACACGCACATGAGGATGGAAAGGAATCGGACCCTCGACGGCTGGAACAAACATAAACCGTGAAATTGTATTGGAGATTAAACTCATAAAATATATTGTCCTAATATTACACTATAGAATTCTTAAATTTGGGCATGAATACACAACAGTTTATTATGATGATATAATATATGATACAACTAACCAATGCATTATCCTAAACTCTAAACATTCAGTTTTAACCCTAACCCTAAACCCCAAATCATAAAACCTAAATCCTAACCCTAAATCGATAAATACTTAATTCTTCAACATCAAAGTAAATTTTGCTAATTTGTGCAGTTTCTTGTCCATAATATTACTAGTGATGATTGAAATAGTTTTGATATGAATCTCATGCTCAAATTGGCAAATATGAGATAAATGCACCCAAAAAGAAGTCAGTCCACCCAAAAATAATATAACGAAAAAGAGCTTGGTCTAGTGGTAATACCACTAGTCTAGAACCTGGAGGTCCCAAATTCGAATCCTTTAAGTAGTACCTTAATCACAGAAATAAATTCTATATCACCCTTATATATAAAAAAAATCATATATATCCTTTATTTTCACTTGGGAATATAATCAATGTTTGAGAGAGGGAGAGAGAGGTTAAGAAAAGCGAATTGTGTTGGACACTTTCATGGGAGATGCTTAGATTCCTCATTATCCTTTAATATATAGTATTATAATAGAAGAGAAGGGGAGGGAGGGAGAGGATTAAAATAAATGAAATGATATTAGTTGGCATTATCATGGATACTAAACTCAATTAGACTTTTATTTGGTGGTCCATATTTCCTTAATGCGGGTTGTGTGGATTCCTTTTCAAAGTAATCATATTTTAATTGGTGGTTTGTTGGACTTTTGAAATAATTGCTCCACACAAACACACAGATGCCGCCAAGGTTTAGCTAATTAATAAGTAACATAAGGCACCCCTTCCATTAAACAATTATTAATTCCCCATCCAACAGTGTAGCTAAAACGATACTTTATAAATGAATAAAAACAAAATTGAGGAGAGCTGTGGTTGGGGCAGTTTATATATATATGTGATTAATTAAATCTGAGAGGTGGGATCCTCAATACTCATTCAGCTGCTTTTTAGATTAGATTATTATTGAC